GCAGCTAATGAACTTTTCATATGAGGAAGGATGACGAGGACTTAGATTACTGAAATGAAAAGAGATAGATGTCAAAGGGTATAATAAGTAGCTTATTTGCTGACTGCATGCCTTCGTTAGTTTCAATACTTAAAAAAAAGTATTTTGCGAATGTATGAAACACTAAAACTTCAGTCATGTGCGCTCAAACGAAGGTTTTACCAGGTGGAATCAATTATAATTTTAAGAAAAAAACAATCAGGAATTCATTAAGCCTATGAAATCAAGTAAGTGTTATGTCTTGCATTAGAAATCACTAACCTATAATACAGATTACATAATATAACCTATTCTCTACGGATAATAAGCATGTCAACTTAAAAGTTGCTTGCATATTCATAAACACAATGAACTAGGTGGAAGTACTTTAGGCTTAAATAGCCTATCGATTTATATTCTCAACAGTACGTTGTAAACTATGTGAACTCCCTGAAGTAGATTCCGAGATGGTGAACACCAACAAGAGTCAGGTATTCCTAATTGACCCTCCCATACCGGACTGCGACCATTTGCAATCTTACGGGGACTAAAATGTACTTGGTCACCGGCAAAAGTGAAGAAAAAGCGATAAAAATCGAAAATTCTACTCGGCTATAAACTTGCGTTCTTATAAAATATATGGGCTCGGCGCTCTTCACTTCTATTGCGAAGTTACGACGCTTGTCTAAAAATATTCATAATTCCGTGGCGATCTCACATGCTCTGAGCTAATATTCCATCGCTGTAGCAGCTCAGCAACGACGCAAAGTCATACCATGAGAACTATTTCCAATAGCTATGGTACCAAAGCAAAGTGCAAAACTGAATATGGTAGATGACATGGTTAGTTGGTTGGTAGATGACAAGTTAACGTTCGCTTCCAGCGGGGTAGATAACATGACAACGTGACAATTTATATACTCGCGGACCTGTGAGAGACTCTCCCATTTTAAGTAATGAATTGAAACCAAATACTTACAGGCGTTTACCACGGAGATTGTCAGGCCCTTTATACAATTTGTATTACCCTTTTTTAAAAAGACGCTTGCCTTCAATCTTCTGTTTTTGTCCATGTGTACAATAAACTAGTATCTTATCGAGCATTCTTGACTTACTCGAGCAAAAAGGCATGCTACAGAAATGGTAATGCTAACAATGCACAGTAGCTTACAGCATCCAGGGTTTTTGAGGGTTTGTATTTTCAGCATACTATTTTCTCAACATTAATTTCATGTAGATCAACATTCCAATTATTACTTTTCCGATTTATGTACAGTTTGAAATTATATGTTTTCTGATAAGTCCGCTTATATTTTTTGCTTTCAAATTAAAGTATTTTGTCATTTGGTAAAGAGATAGTACTACATTCAAGAAGAATAAGGCCAATAATCAAAATATGCTTTATTAACAATCAATTTACAATTGGGCCTTAAAGGTACAGGTTGGCCATTGGATTGATTTTGATCTGGAATACTTGTAATTAGTCTTCAGAAATACTAGAAATGTACGTGAATCGCATAACTCCTGAATAATTCTGGTCACACATGGGTTTGAAGGCTCAAATTTCGATGGTGAGCTGTGAACACTATCGCTGATAAGCTTAGCTAAAAAAATCCGCTTTTGAGACTAAAGAATTATTGGTCCAAAAACATGGCATATCTGTCCCTTTAAATAACTTGATATTGATTAGGCATATTATAATTGAAATGTTGTTAATTATTAATATTAAATACTACAATTATTTATCTATAGTTTCCCACTAGATAAACTAAGTCACCTTGTAGTTGATTCAAATCAACTCTAATCGAGTAGGCCTACCCTACACCTACACATGTAACATTTATTCAAAACTTCCCGTTCATAATTTCTTCTCTATTTATCCAACGACTCGTGAATGAAGAGAAATTTGAAACTATATATAAGAAATATAAAAGGGGTGGGGTCCTTTTTTTCTTGTTTAATTACATTTTAGCTTTGACACCTGGGTAAATGTGTTATGATGAGCTGTTAAATTCTTAAACTATCAACATTCTCTCTAAATACTTCTATAAAATCTATAATTGTATATCACCCTGTCTTGATATAATGTAAGTTTTTACACTTAATTCTGAGAAAACAAACCACAAGAACAAGCCCCGTTATTCAAAAAAACAAATTGAGATTTTAAATTTTTGAAAAATGGAAATGAGAGTTACTCGGTATAAGATGTAACACAATTATGCACATTTTTTTTTGCCAAAACTTTACCATTCAGTATAATGTTTAAATTCATATTTGTCACTCTAAACACTGTCTTTATAGACTTACTTCATGGATCGAAGACTTTTCATAAATCGTTTTTGTAATATGGTAATAGGTATTAGTTTGATTTATTGCGCAAATTCCACATCAGTGCTCGATTACGCATACATGTAGAATATGTAAATATTCATAAAACTTAATGGTTTACGAACATTGCAGGATTTTCAACTGGTAGTTTTAAAGATCTTTTTGGTCGTATTTTTGGGTGATACATCAAATTGCATGATATATATATATATATATATATACATGTATAAAAATATTAAAACAGAACCTGAAAACACCTTCATCTGAAACTGAGTAATAACAACATTTTTTTTAAGTTCTTAGGTTTTTAAGATATTATTTCTATTTCTATATCGGTCTACAATTGATGTATTGAGCACTATTTTAACAATGGTATTTCTATATCGCACTACAATTGATGTATTGAGCACTATTTTAACAGTGGTATTTCTATACCGCACTACAATTGATGTATTGAGCACTATTTTAACAGTGGTATTTCTATATCGTACTACAATTGATGTATTGAGCACTATTTTAACAATGGTATTTCTATATCGCACTACAATTGATGTATTGAGCACTATTTTAACAGTGGTATTTCTATATCGCACTACAATTGATGTATTGAGCACTATTTTAACAGTGGTATTTCTATATCGCTTTACAATTGATGTATTGAGCACTATTTTAACAGTGGTATTTCTATATCGCTTTACAATTGATGTATAGAGCACTATTTTAACAGTGGTATTTCTATATCGCACTACAATTGATGTATTGAGCACTATTTTAACAGTGGTATTTCTATATCGCACTACAATTGATGTATTGAGCACTATTTTAACAGTGGTATTTCTATATCACTTTACAATTGATGTATTGAGCACTATTTTAACAGTGGTATTTCTATATCGCTTTACAATTGATGTATTGAGCACTATTGTAACAGTGGTATTTCTATATCGCTTTACAATTGATGTATTGAGCACTATTTTAACAGTGGTATTTATATATCGCTCTACAATTGATGTATTGAGCACTATTTTAACAGTGGTATTTCTATATCGCACTACAATTGATGTATTGAGCACTATTTTAACAGTGGTATTTCTATATCGCTTTACAATTGATGTATTGAGCACTATTTTAACAGTGGTATTTCTATATCGCACTACAATTGATGTATTGAGCACTATTTTAACAGTGGTATTTCTATATCGCTTTACAATTGATGTATTGAGCACTATTTTAACAGTGGTATTTATATATCGCTTTACAATTGATGTATTGAGCACTATTTTAACAGTGGTATTTATATATCGCTCTACAATTGATATATTGGGCACTATTTTAACAGTGAAAATAATTTATTATATATACATGTACATATATATATATAATTATATTTCTCTTCCTGTACAATGTATCATGCTTTTTTGCGTTGTTTCTCTTCGCTTAAAGGAACAAGTGCGCCAATTTTTTACCAATCATACTTTAGTCTTAGAAACAGGCTTTTTTAGCTAAGCTAAATTTGAGTTTTTGCAGAATTATTCGCGATTAAATGTTAAAATAACGACTCGTCAATTTAATATTAGATATGATATTTAGAAAGGACATATATATTTAAATAGTAAGTAAAATTCCTAGTTTGAGATATTTTTGAAGGAATTATACGATTTTCGTAAATTTGTAGTAGGCTACTTTTGAAGACAACTTACATATATTCAAATCACGCCTCTGTCGCTTTAATGAGTGTGATCTGAACAATTTACGTGATATGGTATAGGTCACTTTTAAAAAAATTGAATGTCACAATACCTGGTTGTGATAACTAGGATCAATACTACTGAAATTACACATAATTTATCAAAATGTGAAATGCATTCTTTTATGGAATACATTTTTTCATGGAATACATTTATTTGAGAAAACATATATTTTCCCACTCGAAACGTTAAAACAGTGGTAATTTCTACCTCTGAGTAATGTTTGTAGACCTTCACTGAGACATGATTGAAAGGAAGAAAAAAGGAATATAAATTTTTAAAGACAGTTGATAATGAATGACTACTTTCGTTTTATTTCTAGAATATGTCGCAAATGAGAAGTTAAATTATTTATGTACGTAATAAGTATAGTACAGAGGAAGGTCATTTAAAACGCCAGTCAGTAAATTATTATCTCACCAAGTGGTAATTATTTGTATCATTTGGGGATAAGATACTAATACAATGATATCACCAATAATCAGCCAGATATTCTAAATATACGTTAGCAATGTTTACCTGTTATTTATCGAATGAATGTTCTTTGAAATATTGAGAGTAGTGAATGTTCTTTGAACATAACGAGAGTAAATTTATGCGCTAAGAAGCGAGATAATACGTTACGTTTTATTTGTACTAAAAGAAATGTGATAGGCTTTTTCTCTCTAAATGAATAGCTTGAATTGAAGGCCGGTCATAGCTTTCAGATAGTATTATCTTATCTAAATAATAAAACCGATTTAAGTATTTAAAGTTTCCGATAGTAAACGTCAGGAAGATTATTCCCATTGGCTTTTCAATGGATTCTGAGTTAATGTAAGGGAAATAACTGACTTATTTAGGATGATTGAGGTGATACAGACAGTCAAGAATGCTAGTGGGCTGCAGTTGCAAACACATTTTTTTAGGGAAAATTATCACAGAAGAATTCAATTCAATACAAAAACACTAAAGATATAAATTAAAATAGGAAACATAATTGGATGGATGTAAAATGGACCAATCATAGTACTGGAACCCATCCATAATGGCCGTCCTGCTGCACACGTAGCGTTATCTGTACAATTGACTGTTTCGTTGGGTTGTGGTCCGTTACAGAAGTCTGTAGTACACAATGTAATACAAATATGAATATTGTTTGTCATTCTGTAGATACAGGTAGTTTCATTATCAGCCTCAATTTGTTCCAATTTGTCCAAACCTTTCAACTCACCAGAATAAGAAAATGTTCTTCCGTCGCTACAATCTCTCAAGAAACTTTTCGAATCACCTGAAAGTAGAATGAAAGGTGTTGGCTTTGATGTGAAAAATCCTGAAATGGAAGTAAAAGTGTTTTTTCTTGACCACCCGATATATGCTGGATTTTTATTATGGACGTTCTTGGACGTTATCATAGAACCTATCTCTTTTAGGTTTGGTAAAGAGTTATACTTTTTGACCTTTCTTAATCCGACACTCATTCTAATTCTGATGGCAATTCTCTTCTTATTTAGCTGAATTCGAATTAATTATGTGAGAGAAACTGGTATTTTTCCAAGTCATTAGAACACATCTACTTTCTATTCATATACAGGTATCCTTGATTTTATATATATATATATATATATATATATATATCATGGTTCTGTGACCTATCTATTGAAAAAATGAAGCAACTTACCAGCAGACATGAAGGTTTCAATGACACAAAAATCCAGACTGTTATTTAATGTACTGCTTGTTGAACAATTTTTAGAGAAAACTCCATCTATAGGTTCAATATCCTTGTCTTCGTCACCAAGTGAAGATTTAACCAAGCCTTTTAAATCGTTTTTACAATCCCCGCCAGTTTTACTTCCATCGGCACATTGATAACATAATATACTCTCTGAAATTTAAAATCAAATAAAATTATTCTGCATGAACCGAACTTCCATCCTTACAAGTTACATTTCAAACAGTGGCTCAACTACAGTAGGGACTTGTTCAACCAAGTCCACGGACACCCACTCCTAAGATGTACCAAAAAAAGCTAGTATCTAAATGGTTAACACACAACTAAAAATAGTTCATAACGTATGCTGAGGCGCTATCTAGAGCAATATTTTGTCCTTATTCAATAAAATGAGTTGAACCACTGATTTCAAAACGAAAACACTGCAGTGTATTGTGAGCTGTACAAAAGCTTACTGTGTTCAACCGAAGAAAAAAGCTAAAAACATGTATGCAAACGTATTCATTTATCGATTAACTGTCTCAGTGAGGCATTCAAAATCTTTTTAAGATGACAATCGGTATTTTTAATTTCACTGCAATTTAACTATTATAAGTGAAAAGATATTAAAATGGGAAATATCGGGTTTGTTTATGAAATATCAAGTAAGATATTTATTGTTCAACAGCATATTTCAAGTGGAGTGTAGTGAAAGTAACCTTTGATAGTCCCATGTACATAATAATGATATTTATTCTACCATGTACGTGATAACATAACGACAGTTATAAAAATATATGGTACATGATGACAGGATGACATAACAATATATAAATACAAATACTCCATAACGATTAAAAGTCATATCACATTCGAGGAATAGTAAAAGTTAGTAAAATAGTGATTGGAAAGCATGTGGATAATCGGAAAAATACTGACTTTCTGCCAATAACTGTATGTGTGATTGTATGCAAATGCCAATATCTTTTCATTTCGTCTATTGCTTTAAACTTGTCTAATAAAAATCCGTACAAGCAAGACAATTCCGTTAATCAAAATCTCGTCCAAAGTATGGCAAAATCAAGGGAAAAAGTAATAGAGTAGTGGACTCCACCAAAGAGAAGTACCGTCAGGTGTTTCGAAAAGAGTAAGCATGGTCTGCTTCGCGCCCGACACCCACCACTATTATACAGGTCAACATCATGAGATATAAGCAGACCAATTTATGCATAAATCAGCCAAGATGCAAGAAACAAGATTTGTTATATTTGTTCAGAAGTCTTGTTAAACTAAGCCCTTATTGGCGAATTTAATCTTACGAAAGAATTTGCTCACTTGAGGAAGTTAATAAGGAACGTATCTGTGAAGGCCGTCCTGTATGGAGGAAATCGTCGAGACTCTCCCTTACCATGCTTTTAGACAGTCTTGTTAATTTCTGATGATTTCAATGGCAAGGCCTACAAGCTGGTCTGGTATAAAAACAGTTGCAGTTCTTATTTGTATGATTCATAAAATGATTTTACTAGTATCAAAAGTTTGTTTCAGTGTAAAGAGGCCCGTAGCCAAACCTGATTCTTCTGCATTGCCTTTCTCGTAACCCCTTCCCTCCTGTAGCTACAGGCCTGTGTATAAGCAAAATTAGGAAGTTGTACATCAAACATATTGCTTCCAAAGATCTACGGATCACATTTTGAGTCTTGAACATTCTCTTTATTGATAGCTCTTGTCAACCTCCCGTACGACAATAAAATTGTGGGCGTATAACGATGGTCATCGCTATTTTTATACGCCGACATTATAATGTTGTCATCGCTCCTGTCCGTCCGACCGTCCGTCCGTCAATCCGTTTTGTCCGTCCGTCCACAATTGGCTTGTGAACGCAATTTTTATCTGATTTGAGTTACATTTGGTGTGATCATTTATATTAATGAGATCTTAGACAAGTTCGAATTTGACGATCTTTCGATGAACGGTTTTTGAGTTATTGCTCTTGACTTAAGAAAAACGCGTCAAAATTTGGTTGTGAGACTACAGTTTTCATCCAATTTAAATGAAACGGAATTTGAGTTATTGCTCTTGACTTAGTAAATACACATCAACATTTTTTGACGATAGAATTGATAGGTTATGTCAGAATTTTATTAAATAATGTGTGTTTAAATCAACAATATCTCGAACAAATTGCAAGTATAATTTGACACAGATAGGTGACTGCCCTTGATATACTTAAAATATATCAGGAAAGTGGGCGTATCTTGCTAGGCAACTTGTTAGTTGAAGGATAAGTGGGAGGCATATTTCTTAACAGTTTGGAGTATATTTTCTTTTCCATAATTCAACTGAAAACGTAACGTAAACCTTTTAACTAGTTTTGGAGTTCTAAAATAATATTAATAACGAGGCGTTTTAAGTTAAACCTCTCTGATACTTTCCTCTGGATTTTGGTGCATAGTTTTTTTTTTTAATTCTTGCACAATTTTTTTTTATACATACGAATAAATCAGACTGCCCCTTGAAGATAGATATTTGTATGTACCTTATGACTAGGTTATTTTTTCAAAATAATATGTCCTAGAGCTCTTTAAAATAGCAATAGATGTACGATAATCCATGATAAAGAGTCTAAACGTTATAAATGACATTATTGAACTGAACAAGTTTGAGTTATAAGACAAATTTTAAAATTCGTCACTTTGACTTAGGCTGCTTTCATATTTTTACATTTTTGAAAATTCATACAAAATTGTGAATTTACGATTAATTTTTGTTTTTCATGATTGAAATGTTATTAATAAAAACACAGGTATTTTTGTGCCTTTTGCATTAGACCACGAAACATAATATTGAATGTGTCCGCCCAGAATGTAATCTGTTCTCTTGTTTTAGCCTCATCCACGTCCTTCCTTCCGTACACAATTGCTTGTTCTAGTAGACACAATTCTTGGTGGATTTTGACTTGGTTAGGAAAGGATGAATTCTATTGAACATCAATACGAGTTATTGCCCTTGTTCTGCGAAACACGTTCGATTCTTAGACGATCAACACTGTAGTATAATATGCGCATTCTTGGAGGATTTAAATGAAACTGGGATAAATTAATCATAATAAAATCTGCCAATATATAGTTACTGTAATTCCCCTTTGAAAAGCACGCGAACACTTCAGAGGAAAAAATTCTTGATAGATTTGAACGAATGTATTATTTATCATTAGAAAGAATACTATAGAAAACTAAAAGTGTGAAAGAAGAGTATGACTGACGGTGACTGAAGGTTGAATATTTCTTACCAGTTGATTTTTGCCGTTCTGCTAAATATTCTTGTTTAAAATTAAAACTACGAGTGGGCGTATATTGAATTGTCTGGCAAGCTATCTATATTACAAGCAGGACGTGCAAAAGAGTAGAGAAGAAGTTTAACTTTATCTCAATTAATCTTTGACATTCAGTTTTGATTATTTATGGAGCATTTGCAATCTTATATGGTCCAATTATTTTTTCATCAAGGTCCAGGGCATGAAAATACCCTACACGAACAAAGTTGGTTTTTTTTGTGTTTTGCTTCCGTATATGCATGACCAAATGAGTAGATCTCTTTACATGCAAAGAAGTAAATACATAGATATGATTTTGAAATAAACACATTTTCTAAAATTTGGTACAATTGGAAAACAATTTCAAAATTTAAAACAGATCCCTGATTCCCTATACTCTAGGCATACCTTTAGTTTTTATTTTTCAAATATGTTAACATATTGATACCAAATGAAAACCAAAAAAGAGTTTGTGAAGATTCTAAAACTACATTTCAACCTGATTTTTATTTTTATCAATCATATACCGGGCGTATGTGGATGTGATTCACTTTCTGATGTATAATAGTAATAATTAAAAATACATTACTTAAACTAAAATACTTTTCTAAACAAAAGTAAAACGATAGTAGCCTATTATCTCAATTCTCAGTTCAGCAGTTCGCATCGACAAAATGTTTTCCACGCCTTAAAAAAACTTGCAAAACTTGTTGGTGTGAATTAAGTCCCGGCTTAAAGAATGGAAAAATGAATTGCGTCAGAATCTTTCTCTCTCTCTAGCTATCTTGAATAATCTCATATTATTTTGAGGTTATTGAAATTTACACATACAGATCTGGTTTTTCTGGGGCTTTACATATATGCAGATCCAAATTTCTATCTCAAACCTTGTATACAAAAAGAATTGATCAATTTGTGAGGGTGGGTTTTAAAAGCCAACCGCCTACCGCGGTGTGATATCTATGGTGGATATCTATGTTTGTGTCTGTGTCACGTAGTTTCGTATTGTCAAATTTTTCGACCTCACCGAATAAAATGATTTATTAGCAAATATTAGTATGTATAGATAAAACCGTAAATCAGTGATTGATGATATTTTGTTTTAACATATCATAACCCTAGAACAATGGCTAAAATACAAGTAAAATTTATTGGCTTGACCATTATATTATAGGAAAAACTTTATAGGCATGAACATAATATTCTGAGACATAGTTTGCCTATAATACCTGAATATTTCAAAACAGCAAACTTTTTTCAAATGTAAAATGATTTCAATGATGAATGAATTTCAATGAAAACTAATTACAGACATTTTGGGGTATTTCTTATAACAGTTTACGAATACCAATTGTGTAAAATCTTAATTAAATTCATTCTATTCAGTCAGGCTAGTCTCTCCAATATGAAAAAGATTACGAAGAAAACCTAAGAGAAAGTCATGAAATCACACGCATTGTACATCACACATGCGGAAATCGAAAGGAGGATATAATGGGGAATGTTCCAGAATCTTTCTGTCAGTAACTGTGGTGTACCATTGTCAGTTCTTATATTTTTCTGTTATATATTTTGGAATAATCAATACAAATTCTGTTATTTTATACCTGTATACTACTTTAGGCCACAATACTTACCTAATTATTTATACAGCTATGTCCTATTTTGATAAATTCAACACAACTCTTTATCGTGTTATTGAAAAGAATTCAAATTTACCTCGAGCGTAAATATATTTTATCTTAACTTACCAACAAAAGGTAAAAATCCCAGAAACAAAATTAAAATACATAAACCAATTTTACTTTTGATGAACATTTCATGTTTATGTTGAGTCGCCATCTTCAAAATTTCTTCTCAATTATATCCTTTATGTATACAGGCCCAATAAATAAGGTTTAAACAAATATGTAATGTAATGTTGGTTTTTAAAATGATAGATATCGGGGTATCGATATGTGGGGTCTGTGGTAATAGATATATATAATATAATATCTCACGATAAGGTAAAGGGGAATTTCCCGTTTTATATGAATCAGAATATTTTACCTCCTGGAGAACATCAATTATTGTAAAAGGATATTTTTTTCCCTAAGGGTATTGTATTTAGGACATATCAGGAGGATGTCCCCATCCTCGGGACATAAAAAAAAAAATATACTACTTTCACTGCCAATATCGCGTTAAATGCATTCTCAGCCTTCAAAGATTAGAAAATTGTTCCAGGAGGAGGCCTCTCAGACCCCCCATCGAGGCTAGTACCCTTTAACATTCAGAAGGTTGCCCCGAGATCCTGGTAACAAGAAAGAGCCAGTCAAGTTTGCCAACCTCCCGAGACTGGAAGAGGGGTAGGCGGCAGATGAATTAATAGGGGGACAACTTTCGAGGTTGAGATATGCCCCCTCCCCTTCCCTTTGTATATCCACTGCACCCTAGCCTGTGTTTTCAATGTCTGTTAATGAGAAAAAAATCGACAAGAAAGACTGAATTTTTAGTTTTGATTTAATGATATCTCAATCCATACATTTGTTCGAAGTTTAGAAATATGACCACCAATACGCGAGATAAACGGATTAAAACTTCCTTGTTGTACACATAAATGTGTAATACAGTTGACTGGGTGCAAAGTCCTTTTTGCTTTATTAAAGGGACAGATGGGCCATGTTTGGGGTGATTTTATTCTTGATTATATGTAAATAGTCTTCAGAAGTACTAGAAATGTACTTACATCGCACAATTCCTTTAAAATTACTTCAAACAAGGAATTGTACTCACTATTCTTCAAATTTCGACTGTGAGCTGTGGACACTATTACTGATAGCTTAGTTTAAAAAAATGGTCAAAATATTATAATAGTGCATCTATCCCTTTATCCCTTTAAAGTCTATACCATTCGAGTAAAATAAGATATATGAGGTAAGCGAAAGTTTTGTTATTTGTAAACAATATTCATTCACATTTTTAAATGAACTGGATTGGGGGACAAGGCTTTCGATTATAAAACTCTTCCGAGCATCCAAGTGTGAGTAAATTAAACTTCCTGTTTTTTTTTACACTGATTAAATAAGGAATACAGGGTCTTTAATATCTGTCATGAGATATCGACTTCAGTTATTACTAATCTGTTCAAATAAAATTATATTATAATTCAGTAATTTAATTGATAAAATAACACTGTTAGGAGTGGGTTTACCGCTCTCAAGAAGGGGAATAGAAGGCCTGCAAATTGGGAGGGAAAAACTCATTTTTGATCATAAATGTAGACGAATCTTACAGATTTTATTGGTGTTACTATAACTAAATTATCAAATGGAACAGTGTCTGTGAATCATTTTTTTATTGAGTAAACATCAGACCCTCACTTCTTAAGATAAATATCTAACAATAAATAATGTGTAATAGTTTGCTAACAACCAACCTTACACACATATTTCTATTTATATATTCTCAAAATTCTCAATTGAAATCTAATGGCAGCGACCCCTGGTTTCCAAATTTAACTACTTAAACATGTATATACACAGTAAAATTCCATTTCTACATTGATTCTGTCTTATTTCACCATTTCAAGATATGCTGCAGAATGTAAGGTTGGTAATATTTAACTAACTATCTAACTCTTCATCGTCCTTTGTGAAATAAAATCTTCTCCAGAGATAAAAATGGCGCCTCAAAAACAACGGAGAAGATAAATGCCACCATAAAAGTCATTACTGTATGACCTATATATAGGTAAGCCTGAAATAAAAATAAATCTTAAAATTAGATAAGAGCTCATTAAATATTATTGTTTATGAGGCATGTCTCACAAATTCGGCAAGTTACATCAGATCTACCGATAATGGCTACCAAATACTAATTTGAGCTATTTTGTCATAATATTCCCTTCATTTTTGGGTCGATCGGTGGCATGTTTACAATTACATGTAGATCTGTTTTCCGGGGATAGGGTTAAAATCACAGGCCGCCGGATTGGGGGCAATTCGCGACGACAAACCGGTCTATTGAGAAAATTGGTGAAATGGCGCTTTGGAAATATTAACCTCTTCAGAAAACTATGGAGTTATTCAAGGGAGAAAATTGGCTACGTACCACATCGAAGTCACTGATGTAAATTAAATGTCTCTGATTGAAAACTTTGATCATCATGACAGTTGGATGTAGTAAGTAACAAGCGTACGTTAATCTGGAAAGTGGTATGATACCATTCCACGATAAAACATCGTTTATCAAACCTGAAATTTTTAAAAGGTGCATTTGAACAATGAGTTGAAGTTTACCATATTACGTATGAACAATTTTCTGTTCAAATAATAAAAATACGTGTAAAACCTTATTGTCCATCTTCACAGTGTTAAACTTTAACAAATTTCGTACTTATACCACGACAGTGGAATCAAGCAATTTCATTGAACTTTCACTAGGGAATAAATTCCTCGGCAGAAAGGCTGATTAGCTGTATTGAATAGCGTACAATCAAATCAAATCGCTTCATCAAAATTTCCATGATACAAGAAAGGTGGCTGTTGCAGTCAAGGTATAAGTAAGAAGTTAGTAATAGCTTGACATTGTGAATATGCTTATTGTCTTGTGTATATATATTCGATTAGGCAAAAGTTGTTACATTCATTTTGGTTAAAAAGTCCACTTTCGTGATAAGACGCTTTAGTAGGTGAGTTGGAATTCCAATATTTGACTTTGTAGACTTTAACAATATATTTCGCTGTATCTGTCCTATTCATATTCATCCATCAGCTATGTGGCAACTCATCAATATTATGCAATTAGTACTATACAACACGAATGTTCATTCATTAGTTTGTAAATTACACTTACCTCCCCTTTTTCGATGACACGCAAATATTACCCAGGCAACACAGGCGGCAAACACAGGTCGCCCCAAAGATTCATATAGCGATTGGACCCATTGTGGCCAGGGTTCTCCATCCTCTTTTCTAAATGTGTAAGTTATATACGCAAGGAAGAAACCAACGAAAAGTGTTATTAACCATCCAAAAACTGCTATTTTCTAAAATAAAACAAATCCTGTATAGTTTAAACATAGAAATTACAATATCCACGGTATGTGACTCACATAATAAAAAAATGTAATTGAGAAATAGCCGTGGCTATTCGCACCGTAACGGTACAACATATGACCATTCTTCCCCAAAATCTACAAAGTTACTTAAGAGCATTCTTGACAATCTATTTCTCATGCACAACACAAATGAAGCTCTACTATTTGCTGTTATAACATTAACAACGGTACAGGAAGGATGGAAAACAAAGACAATACGCGTCGTGACGGTGCCGATGCGTTGATAAAAATATACTTACCATTTTCAATTGTTTGATTTTGTCTGTTTTGTACATAATAAAACCCAGAAGGATGCCAACCATCCATGCTGCCATTCTAGTCCAGGGTACAATATATACATCATACCAATAGTCTGGTATTTCGTGCATCCTTAAAAGGGAATAATATTTATTATACCAAATTACTACTTACAATTAACCAGTTTTAGTCACAAGAACTACTTATTTCAAATTTTCCGAGAGTAGCTCGGTTGGTTGGTTGGTTGGTTGGTTGGTTGGAAGATGACAAGTTAATGTCCGCTTCCAACAGTAGATTGTTTCAGGACCCAGGGATATCGTTTTTGATGCAATTGTCGATATAGCGGTATATAGTGGCCATTCGCCATCGTGACTGTGAGGATAAACAATAAAAGCACTTAAAAGCACCATCTACCAACTGTCATTGCATTAAATTTAATGTATATAAAGCACGCACTCTTGACTTATTTTTATTCAATTAAATCATTCAAGACATCTATAAATGAAAATTTAGTCAAATACTCACGAGAACATGTCACCACCGGTTTCATAATGTGCATAGAAAGCAGAGGCAACACCTGCCACACCAACACCTACTGTCAGAGCAATACCAACTGGAGCATACCTGAAGTGGAAGTGCACTGATTTACCTGATAGGCATATGTTTTAAAACATTTCTACATTTGTCTTATGTTTAAACGTTATGGTGAAATTGTTTTGAAAGTTATAAGCAGATGAAGTGAAACAAGGTTACCTCCGTCTGATTTTTTGAGCATCTAAATTTTATGTTCATTCTAAGAGATAGTATTCTATAACTAATTACAGGAATATATTTGTTACTGGAGGTTATACCTATGGGCCTATCAGATATAAAAAAAACAATATAAGACAAAATTGGTTGGAAGTCTTTCATACTTACCAGAAAATAAGAAAGATGAAAATTGGCGAGAAAACATAAAATTGCATATCGTTTGCTAAATACCAAGACCAACCCAGACACTGGAAAAAAGAAAGCACCGCCCGTTTTAGCATTCATTACGAATTTTTTTATAATGATTATTTGATTTATTTCCTTCAGCTTTAAAGTATCGGCAATCTATGTCGGACCAAATACATAATCTTCATTCTCCATACAATAAAATAATGCTTTAATGAGGAGAAATCATCACTTTAATTACCTGTTCTTTTGCTCTGACTAGATTATTTACATACAGCAAATTAGTCCACCAGTTGGTTTTACAATAATCTGCTGCTGGGATAGTTTCTGGCCAGAGAGGACCTTCACCCATATAGGCGTACAAACACGAAAATGTCATTAACACGATCATATACAAAGGAGTCAATCTGAAAAAGCAAGCGCATTATTTTAGTCTAAAACTAGCGAAGATATCGGATGTCGTTTGAATATTCTATTTGATTAAATTTGTCTTCTGTTGAATATAACTTGATACCATAAGGAAATCACCAAACGACTGGTGACTCTGCTGATGGACAGGATAATCATTCTCTACTTTTTTTTAGCTTAAAGCTGTTTTACTTAAGTCCAAATATTTAGTTAAAAACTGAGATCCACTGAACAAAGTCGTCGTAAGCGAAACAGGAAATTCTCGCTTTTCTCAAATCTAAGAATCCACAAAGCTAACATGATGCATATTGATATATTTATAGCCCTACCTCCAAAATCTGTGAAAATAATACATGAACATATAGCCTCCCTTCACCTTCTTCTTACCAAGATCTTTTAGAGTTAAATATGTTACAAGAAATCCACTGAAACAAGAAAATATTCAAAAACTATCTGAACCTTACTATAACTGAAAAACAGTCATCTACTTATTAACATTCCTACTGATTTCAATAATACTTCTATATTACTACTGACGAGAAGGCCGAAAATAGAAAGGGGTGACTGAAATCACATAAATTACTAATGGGTTGATATACAACATCAAAAATTATTCCAAAAGATTCTTAATATCAGATACTAGACGCTGTCTTAACTTACCTTAAAAGAAAGAAAGTATCGACGCCAAAACCTGCGGCCATGATTCCTTGAAATGTAAATCTCTCAAACAATGAAGCCGCATCCACTAAATTGGCTGAAAGGAAGATAGAAGCTAAAAATCCGAACATAGCAATCCGTTCACCAAAAATCTCATCCAGACCATGACCAATTCTGAAGCAATTGTTGTATAGTGAGAAATACCATCAGGTGTTTCGAATAGAGGAAGAAAGTTCCGCTTCGCGCGCATCCTTATCTTATAAAGATAAGCGTTGTTGCAAGAATTATTCTTTCATCATTTGTTTCTTTGAAATAGGCAAATTTAGCACACTAATGGCGATTCAGTTGGCACTTACAAACTTCGGAAAAACTCAGCAGTGCTAAATTGTACGTGGTTATGACGGTTTCTGACTGCTATAAGTGTGTTCTATTACTTACTGAAATGTTCAATGATTGTAATTGCTAATCCAGTTCGAACTATTCACTTACCAGTGGTAGGGTTTTCTGCGTCAGAAATAACGCCATAATTATAGGTATGTCCTAATAATATCCACAGCATGCTTATAAATCTGATTCCATGAATACAGTTGATGGCAGACGGCGATTTCTTGGCGCTCAGTAACTTTGGAACATTTGTAAGAATGGAGAAAGCTTTGATAAAAGGACTGATTTCTGTGAAACATAAAAATACAATGATTATCAAATCAAACTCTTACTATATCGACTTATGTCATGTACGTTGGGATTTAATGAAATACGTGTATTCAAATATAGATGTAACAACAGAGCATCTCTCATTAAAATCATTAAGGGGATTGTAAAGAGGTTTTCTAAATTTGTAATGTATATCGGGGATACTGATAACATCAATTTGCACCTTTTATTTTTCAGTAAGACGCCTGCTGTTCCTGCAATACCATAACCACTGAATGTTTTATAACACTTTGTCACATAAGGTCATTCACGAATAACACTTAGTTTTAGTGGAATTTCAGGAACCATGTAATTGGTATGGTGGAAATGGGTGTTATCAGTGTCCCTGATTCACATAAAAAATAGAAAACCGCTTTACAATCCCATTAATGGTTTCCAAAAAAAAATTTGGTCATAACAGTTCTTTTCAAGTTTTCTATCAAAAAGTCATCTCTCATTTGAAAGTCGCATAAACGTCTAAACAGCGGGAGTGCTTATTCTAGGTCAACAAAAACAGCTATTGTTCATCATTACCATAAAGACAATAACCAATACACATTTAATCAATATAATAATTAATTTATAGACCTACTTCGAGGTTTGTCTGTTGGTGGCTCTGGGGGTTCTGGCTTTGTGAAGTGATGAACAGCCCCGTTTGATGTACCAGCTTCTTCGGCCTTAGATACACCATTTGATTTAATAATGCTACCATTATTCACATTCTCGTAAATTCCATTACCATTTGGGGACTTTTCATCGTATGACGTTAATTGCACATCTAAAGATTTTGGTGCGTAACCATTTTTGATGATTGTGCTCTCATCCGAAAAAAATCCTCTATTGATATGACCATGTCCTGTTTGCCGTGGAAGTGGTAAAGATGACAAGATACCTTCAGTGAACGAGCACACTACAACTATTGCTCCAAATATAGACAGAATAACTCTGGAATGAAATTATCGCACAATCAATCCAATGCTTACAGCAGCAATTTCAAAATGTAGCTTTTCGAATTTTAGATTTTCAGTCACACCTACATTTGATCAAACATAGCTAACTATCTAAAAAAATTATTGGTAGGGCTGCTGATGTAGATACGATATCTAGCCCGATGTTTATGATAACTAGCCTAATGCGAAGGATTATCTATATGAGTGTCTACATAACAAAAACACAATTTGCTTGAAATGACCATACACGAACTCACATGGCTGCTATGGCTGATGAATCATCTTCTAATATTGGCTCTTCATGACACGATACACTATTAACGGGTAATGGTAGGGGACCTGTAAACGAATTGGAAATGAGTCATTTTTTATCTATCAGGATCCATATGTAGTTTTGTCAATTTTTGAAAACCATCTACTTTACACTCATAAACAATGAGCTTCCCAATATAACGCAGGTATAAATTATAGGATTATTTTCTATTCCCTACAGATACACAAAGAGAGTCAAGCAAGAAATTATTTTCGCCGATGGGATTATGTTCAAAGAGTCGTAGATCTAGATACAGTGCCGTAGATCTAGATACAGTGTTGTAGATTTAGATACAGTATCGTAAATCTACATACAGTGTCGTAGATATAGAAACAGTGTCGTGGATTTAGATACATTGTCGCGGACCTAGATACAGTGTCGTGGACCTAGATACAGAGTCGTAGATCTAGATACAGTGTCGTGGACCTAGATACAGTGTCGTGGACCTAGATAAAGTGTCGTATATCTAGATACAGTGTCGTAGTTGATGTAGTTGTTGTTGATCTAGAAACAGTGTCGCAGATCTAGATACAGAGTCGTAGGTCTAGATACAATGCCGTAGATATAGATACAGAGTCGTGGATATAGATACAGAGTCGTGGATATAGATACAGAGTCGTAGATTTAGATATACAGTGTCGTAGATTTAGATACAATGTCGTAGATTTAAATACAATGCCGTAGATCTAGATACAGTGTCGTTAATCTGGATACAGTATCTAGATACAGGCCACAAACCCTGTTATTGAATATAACGAGCCTTAATAAGAGTTAATGTGAAGAATTGTTACCAGTAGGTTAGAAACGTATTTGTAGAAACGATTTAAGCAAGACATAGTTGTAGAAGCGTCAAATTATGAAATATCGTCTTACCCATGTTAATCAGTTTTACAATATCATCACCATGACAGGATGCTGGGACACACAAACCCCAATTTAACAGCAATTTTAATCCTCGTGTATCCTACAATAACGACAAAGGTTGCTCATAAGTTTCGCAAGCGAATCAAATGTATAAGTTATCCCTTTTTCAACAAATAACTTATTTCATTTCAAACAATAAAGTTTATACATACATCTTCACATAATAAGTAATATTTTCATATTATATTGAATAAAGTCGAAAAATAATTTGAATACTTACCACATTTAAACTTTGTACAAAATTATCAGAAACGTTGAATTTCGCCCGACAAAATTTTGTAGTGAATGATTTTTCTTTACCTCTCCATATATGGCCCAGAGTAATGTTTTTGGGTATATAAGCTTGAACTTTGGCGCACTCATCATAGGATCCAATGTAATACAAAGCTCCTTTAGTAATTCCCCCCGAAGGTTTACCAATTGAGTCGAACACTGGAATAAAGGAGAGTGTGAATAAAATATTTCAATCGTGCTATTGTTGAGGTTACCCCCTAGTAAAATGTGCTCCATATTGTACCCACATATTATTTTTTACAAATTGGAAAATATGACCTTTTTAACGTTTTTGAACCAATTTATGCGTCAGAAATCTTTTCTTGGGGGAACCCTCTCAAACACTCAACAAGAGGCTTGTGACTATGACGCCTCAACAGAGTTGCCGCATTTTAAATTCAGACTCGATAGTTTGTCCCACCGTTGAGCAAGTCAGCAACCTATTTCAGCCCCCGGTCTCGGGAGACTGGCGCCGCCACTTGTAGAACTTATACTTATGTTCATATTACAGTTATTTATTTCTAGGAAGGGAATTAATTGTTACCAAAGAGGAAGCAATTGAAAAAATGGGAAATCTGGCGCTCGTGCGGAAAATATTAAGCTTGGTTTTAATCAAAGCCTTATCGTGTGTGGGAAATCTGCGCTGGATTCTTTCGGCTTAAATCATCCAATTGTCTTTTAAATACAATGCCTAAACAATTATTTGAATCGAGTACAATCTTGTATTTGTTTTGTATTGCGGTTATCAATAATTAGATCAAATCAGTTGAAATGTAGATCAGTGTTATATTTTATCAAACTGGGTGTTGGTTCGAGACTAACAGTGAAGTAGATTTGAACCTTAGTATCAAGGTTTATGATAAAATTAGTTATCATAGCGGCCTTTTATATCTTGATTGGCATGTTGACGTTTGCCGCACGTCGTATATACCCTTATATTTAATGCCGAAAAGAGGTTAATTTATTTTGTTTATGGATAATATGCACTAAAATATAAGCTAATGATAAAGAATGTGACAAATTCGAAAACACTTCGTTAGACTTTTTAGTACCAATATTAAAAATTTTGCCGTTTTCATGTTTTCTTTAGGTAACAGATCAAATTTAATCTTGATGGCACTCAAAACAAGTGCGGCCTTCCGTTTAAATCGACCAAAACCTAGACAAGTTGTGGCTACAAAATATTAAACCGAATGCAATGTCTCTCTCCAGACGTCGATTCTTTCTACTATGTGTCGATATTTATAAGGCGATACTATAATCTTTCGGTAAACAGAATGAAATCATCTGATAGATGATCAGAAATAAAATATATTAACCATCAAATCGATTTGAACAATTTGTTCCAGATATTAGTTATCAGAATACTTGTTAGGCATTGTCTATTATCTCTGAAATATTTTGCGATATTTGGTTGATAGCTACCACAAGGCCCACGAGGTTAGGATAAGGGGTCAAAGAGCAGTCGGACAAATTTGTATCAAATTTTGTCGAATCATAAGTCACTTGTTTATGATTGAAGATAACAACACACATTCACTTATGAACACAGTTAATTTGTTTTTAATAACAGTACAGTGTGTTATAAAACAAAAAAATATGCGGATATTTGGGTTCCCTTTTTTTCATTTATGACAATGAAAATGCTAATCCTTATATGAATAGAAGGTAGATATGTTCTAATGACTTGAAAAAATACCAGTTTGTCTCACATGTCCATAATTATTCATTTTAGCTAAATTAGAATGGAATTACCAATGAGTGACCGATCAAGAAAGGTCAAAAAGTCATTTTTGTTTATCCAGACTGTACATACATGGACACTTATAACTGGTTAAGACTCTTAATTAAATGCAATAGGAACATAATGATATGATTAAGAATATATGATAATTCATTAGAAACACCAATTAATTAAATAGTTTGCTGAATTTGACACTAAACCCATCTTTGAAAATCAACAACGTAACGACCTGAACTGCTTCTATGTTTTTTCTGTGTCTGTATTACAATATAATTACTCAAAACGCATGAAAGATGATAAAATAGGTAATTCCTTCAAAATATACCTCAAACTAGGAATTTCTATACATGGCAGAGTTTCAAGAACTTTCAAACGCAGGCCAATGTGTTATGTTTCCGAACGTTATGTCCCAATATTGATGCAGTAGATTTTATTTTGTAGAGGTGGAGGCTCGGATCCATTACAGTCCCTTAAATCCATATAATCTTTTTGAGAGCTTGACATCGATAAAATAGGTTATCATGATGATATAGTTTTGATAGGAATATTTATTGACATTCCTGTCCTGGGGTCATAGATAAAAGACTAATTGCGAAGCGATGAGAAACAAAACAATAGATTAAAAGCCTATTGCGAAATGAAAAAAAAAATAACAAATACTGAATTAATTTGATTAAAACAGTATAAATTTGTAGGCGTAACGATGTTTTCAGATAAAGCGTTATGATTATGATCCAAATAACACAGATGGCTAGAAAATACATGCAATTAGAATAGAAAACTAAAAATAGCGTCGAATATTGTCTTCTCGATCTTCATTATTTCAGAAAGGCACATAACAGAAGAAAAGGAAAAGTAAGCACTATTTTGTCTATTAAAAGCAATCGTCATAGGATCAGAATACATGACATGAAATTCTCTGTTGATTAAATGACATGCTAATAGTATTGTATATTGTGCATTTACTTACTTTTCAAGGCCCACCAGAAGGTAGTAAAATTAAAATCATTTGGATCATCAGTAGGATATTGTCCCCCAACCAAAGCATCCATAAAATCCATGCTGTCTTCATAGCACTGTTTATTTGACATTAACGATTCAAAATAAGGGAAATAGATCCGAGTACTGCGTCTCATCATAATTCTTTGGATAAGGCGCTTGTAGTTGAGGTTATGTTGGTACGTGTACAGCAATGCATTGGTCACATTAGGATTGTTCGGTTGCCAATGATTCGCTTTAGCCATCTCCATCACCTTTGAGGTATTAACTCTACCAACCTCATCAGTGATGATACGAGCAATATCCTGAAAGTCGGAACTTCTCAAGAGTTTCGGCATCATGCCAAGAACCCCTTCAGAGAATAATCCCCCAACTTGACTAGGTGGTTGGGTTTTTTTGAAATCTGCATAAGCGTAAAATATAGCTTCCAATTCTCGAAATACATGATCATTGTCTAACAAAGCTTGACCGACCAATCTGCCTTTTTCAAGTTGGCTGTATTCTTTCTTGGTGTTTGAGTTATTGTAATTGGCACCAATGTCAGTTCCATCAGCAGCTAAAGTCGTGCTCAAGAACAGTAAACCCACCAAGACCATATAGGTTATTTTGGCCATGCTGTTATAACAGTTAGTAGGAGCTCATTAGAATTACTCCAAAACAAAAAATGATACCACCATTAATTAACAATTGGTTTTGTCGTTATTAATTCTCTGATGCTTTAAATAACACTCTCCAGGTACATGAATGTTGTGAACTTGATTTTGTCCAAGGTTTCCAACACTAATCTAATGTTGTCGCTGATAAGTCAATGTTGTGTCGTATGGAGGAAACTTTATTTTAAATAAACGAAAAACATGTGATTCCTCAGATAAGAAGCCGGGCGGTCCGGTACACACCATTGGACTTTGTCCACATCAACTAAAATATGCAACCTACCTCTTCAGTTGACATTTGTTTTGTAAAATAAAGTTGAAAAGTGCAAGAATTTTAATCTATAGAGCAATAAAATTGATTGAAGACTGCACCCACATAAACATGTAATGAAAGTCGACTGTTGAGCTGAGCTGTTTTTTAAAATCCCACGCCAACTGCAAAATATTTTTCAATTGAACACAATTACACCTTTTGGAGACATTTCCCTTGTGGTACACATGTGTGTGTTGAGCATGTTATTCTGACAAGATGAGTAAATGAGTAATTTATTGCCAAGGAATGCTTATTAACTTGACAATAAACGCTCAGAATGAGTCGATACCCTTTTAATGTCAGCATGCACACTTAAGAGATTAATTATAAGAACTTATTGCCCTTGTTTTATAAAGTTTCAGTAGCGTCACCCCACTGTTTAGGTGCTTTATATACATATAAGATCGTGCAAACTTATATGGCACATTCTCAACCAAGAAATATTTCCAAGTTAGTCTTGACTCCAGAATGTCCTATCAAATATATAGTCTATAGTTTAATTATTGTTGGCTGAATTGACCACTAGATACGAGTTGAACCCCTTTGCCAGAAAACTTATGTTATAGATTTATAATCTACTACCAGGTGCAAGTTGTTTTCGAGTGACTTGCTTTGTCTTATATTATATATTGTATCTTAGATTTGTAAATATAGGACCTAGTCGTTGTCTACACCATCATCTGCAGTGGCAAAACCTGGTAATTCACTTTTTGGTCAAACTTGAGATTTTTTCGGTTTTGAGTCTACCTCATGTGTATACAAAAACAAAATCTGTAAAGATGGATCCTTGAAACTTAAATGCCAATGGTAACACCTTGCATATCATTTAATTACAACGTTTACAATGGCTAACTCTTGTGTTTCCGAGAACCAATCGAAGTGAGATATAAATGGCTTCCTTTTCCGAATCATACATTACTAGAGAAAATTTTGAGAATAATAGACTAGAACTTTCTTAGCCTTAGCTTAGCTCACCGACCCCTTCTTTCATTGTCCTTGTCGGTTTATAAGTCAGGTAAGTCTGTTTTTGAAACGTAAACACTCAAGGGAACATTTTGCCTTATATTTAAGAAAAACAATGAATTGCTTATTATAGCCCCTTTTCAGAAAGTGTTCGGCCTTTAGCTGGTAAACTTGTTTGGATGAAATCTGGGTAAATTGAATTCAATTGAAAACCTAAACAAATTTTTATTGAAAATAAACCAAAAGAAAATATGTAATGTATTTGATTACTATATTCACCTTGTTTTTCATAATTCATTCGATTTTTAGTTTGTAAACACTCAAGGCACATTTCTTGGACTATTTTGATAAAACTTGTTGTAAATCTTGATTAACACCCACGAAAGAACTCCATCAAAGAAATCAGAAAGGTTTTCAAAGAATGTTGAACTAAAGGTTCATTGCATGCACTGATGATGATTCATGTTCTGCCAAATGTTCTAATCTAAACACTTGAAAAATATTTTGCCTTGTTTGATTTATATGATGTTCTTATTTGGGGATAATTTGGAAACATTTAAAATAATCGGACTTCGATCCCCAACTTTTTAATATATTTATAGATCTGTGTAATACAGTTATTTGTTATTAGAAGATAACGTGAAGATTGAAATGTGTATTACAACACGAAATATTTCTTTTCATTGCAATTGTGTGACCTTTGTCTCATATTATTGTCTATAGGAAATATTTACTTTAAGTATAGATTAATACACCACACCTTCAATGATATTTGTAATTCTTTTATTTTTATTAAAAGATTAAAAATTGAAAAAATATAAAATATAAATTCATTGTCCAGTATTTTTCAAACAGGCATCAAATATAGCTTTTCTTATGAGGTAGAATATGAACACTATCACGTGACTTATTGGTGTTAACACTAATGCAGCTAAAACTGAGTACAGTGCAGCTGTGTCGGGTGTTCTCCAGTCAATAACAGAATAAATATAAGGTTTGTCCAGGCCATTTGAGCCACCGGCTTCTTGGTATATCACAGTAAATATGATATACAACGTGCTGAATAAAACAGGGTGGAAGAAATGGTAAATCCTTACTGGTACCGCTGTTATTATCAGGTTAGATAGAACATAGGCGCTGTTCAAAAGATGAGTTGCTATGTCCACTGTAGTTAATGGATATGTATCTGAAATTGAAAATACGTCGTTAGTTGCCCGAATTTACATTTGTTATTAAGGTGGTTTGAGGCTTGCGTAAAACGTTTGTGGATTCAGGACAAAATTGACTGGAAGATGAACGACAATCATGATGAAATCATTCCACAACATAAATAATCATTTCAAAGGCTACAATTTTTATCATTTATTTACGTTTTTACTACAGTTTTCAACAATGTAAGTATCAAATGTTTTGTGAAGACGGTCTACAATTTGAGACTTGCGTCCAGAGGAGTTTATGAGAAAGTGAGCAGCAGAATACGTAAAAAGTATTTGAATTTTAAGGTTCTTTCGCAAGATGAACACAAGGTCCAGCTTTCTAATAATAATTTCATTATGATATTTTTGTACCTGAATATAGCAGCGCCCAGAATAAGATAGAAACTGCTATAGATGCAGTATTTGAAACATTAAACATCACCCATACAAACTTCAGGTAACCAGACATCTCTTTACATTCTCCTACAAATAAAAGTAGGAAACGCTAATTAAATGCAATTCTTCCAAAAATAGAATATTTACAATGACAATAAAATAGTGCATTACATTACATATCATAATATATAAGAAGGGTGGATTAAAACACGTATAGATTAACACACAGTGACTCATAAACTAATGACACCAAGTAGAAGGAAAGATTTGTATTTGTAAAACTGATATCCGGCTCTCCAACAATGTAATGAAAATTTATAAGATTAGACTTGGAAGATTAGACTCTCGTTACGTGTATTAATTTAACACAATACTATCAGTAATATCGAATTTTCCCTTTACCTTTTAATATATCGGTTCGTTTACAATGAATATGAATAACTGCAATCAACTCCATTAAACTACTAAGTGTTAAAACAAAGTATGCCCAATGAGTGAGGTAGATGAACCACTTAATTTCATTAGATTTCGTTGTGGTCCACTGCCAGGCGTATACACCAGTCAATATTATCCAGATAATATGATATAAAGCCCATACTACACGCCATAGTAAGTAACCACTTGGCCAGCCCCACTGAAAAATATATATAAAAAAGTATTTATATTAAATAAAATCAATGAACTTTGAATAAGAAAGAGGGATTGTTCGATTTTTTTTCAATTATTGGTGAAATCTAAAGATTATGGTCACAAAAGTTACTCATTCCTGTTTTTAAGAGCTATTTCACATAAAATGGAATTTGTGGCTTGCTCTAAACACACTTTGGTCTCAAGAACAAGGGACATAACTAAATCAATTAAGCTTAAGTCCCACTGTGAGATATTATGAGAAACCACCCTATCAGTTATATCACAGTATTGTTTATTATTTGTGGTGGGGTTATGGTCGCATAATGTTAATAGTTACTTACCTCAAATGTTGTAAAATGATGGGGTTTATCGTAAGACAATAGAAAGTTCCTAGGATAGAAGTGTTCTTTACATTTGTTGGTACCCATATCACTGAATATATTTCTTAAGTTACTTTTCTTTTATCATGTAGGTCTAAACTCGACAAACTCTCGACGTTCGACAATTCTATTACACTCTTTCCAGAGAAGATGTGTGATCTTTATTTTATATAAAATTTGCTTAACTTGTAATATAACAATTATGGTTAGTTTGTAGATTCAAAATACGATAAAACAATTTTCTTTATATAACTATGAATAAATTATGCTCAAATCAAGCTACTGAACTGTCTATTGTGATATAGTTTTCCACTATATTCGGATTGTATACGATATCTAAATATATCTATGAGTCACACTTCACTCAAATATAACGTCTATCTCCTTTTATCACTTAGTTACTCGGTTGTCGGAAACATATTCCAATTGATAATCCCTTCCATAAAATTACGGCATCTCTGACATTCCCCTGTCTCAAGAATGCGACTGGATAAAGTTATTGAGAATTATACTAAACCAATGTAAGACTATATAGGTCACCACACTTGACTTACTTATGTAAAGAAAACCAGTCTTGCGGAAACTATTGAATTAAACACTATATAAATGGCAATATTTTAGCCATACCTATAATTTAAGTACGCCTATGTCGCTGTTGTCAGTGTAAAAACAATGAAAAAGAGGGGGGGGGGTGAGAGGAGGAGCAGGGGCCGCAAAAGTATCTTGGGGAGAGATTTGAATTGGGAAATGGTAAAGCTATGCAGATGATTTAGACACGTATCCTATGCTAAGAGTTATAAACCACCTAATCACATGACTTGTACACACCGTTAATTCTTCATATTATCTGCATTGTCGTGACCTTTAGACCCGTGCTGAAAAATTTAAAACTACACCATAAGTCAACAGAATTTAATTATTATAAATCGTAGGCTAAAACTGCAGACATTCGTATATATATGTATTTTCGCTCTTCTGAAGAACGCCGTCGAAATAAATCTAAAGATATACATATACATGCTTTTCAAGACGGCGCCCGGACACCTTAGAATAGTTGTAATAGATCCAACTAAATAAATAAAACACAAAAGCAAACACGAGATAAAGCAAATCAATGAGACCTTGTATTACCTTCGTCCCGAAAATATAAATCGAACCTTAAATCGTTCAAGGAAAGAAAAGAGAACTGTCCATATTACACATAATGATAATAATAAGGATTATCAGAGGCCCTAATGCATTAAATAAATATAAATATATCGGGTGTACCAAAGTTCGACCGGTAGTATCTCAGCTGTTGTTAAACTGATCTCTTCCAACACAGGTTGAAATAGGGAAGTTGCATTTTTGACATGCTATTTTGTTCGAGGCAGTACTTGTACAATCCGATTACTTTCACATTTTCAGGGCTGGACAACAACATCTTGAGGTATAATTGTGAGAATCAGTTTACCAACAGCTAAGATACTAATTGCAATGAAATAAACTTAAGATCTCTATGTTTGATAGTTAGATTTAAAATTTATTGTAGTGATTGGGCAATCAGGTCATAATAGAAATAAAATCATTTTTAAGTATTTTGTGAATAATTTCCACTGTTAAAATAGTGCTCAATAGATTAATTGTAGAGCGATATAGAAATATTAAAACAGAACTAATATAAATATTTCTTATAAACCCTTTTGGCTCCGCCAATAATCCCGCCTCGGAACCAAGGACTCTGTTTACATGTTATGTCCATTTGATTATGCGTTGACCAGTTGAAAATTTCATTTGAAGCGTTCATATTGCGAACAGCCTTGTTGCCACTCGCATGATGATATTACAAGACATATTGAAGGACAAGGAGTGATACACACTATTACTACACTCTATCCACAAAGAACTTGAATTTTCTTTCATGTCACAAATAAATATAAAATTTTCATTTGTCTTTAGTTCTACAGAATTATAAGGTTCGGCGTTGTTTTCACATGAAAATGACCCACTTTCCACAATGAAAAAATTACATAAAATAACTTTTCCAGGGTTGGTAATCTAAGATAATCTAAATCTCGTGGTAGTATTTTCAAGTTGATATTCTAAAGATGATTTGGCAATATTCAATTCTGTAAAGATTGTCCACACTGTACAACCACAAAGTCTGGTTTTAACATCATGGGTGTCTAACACTAAGTCATCTATCTAAAATAAGAATCCTGGGAATAATCTTTGCATTAACATGTGATGATAAAGGGCAGGGAGCGAAACAACTTCATTATCATCATAAGCATCATCATCGCTACCATAGTAATCATAGTCATCAGGGTCATCATAGTCATCATAATCTTCCATAAAGGTTCTTGTAGCCTCAGTAACGGGATCATTGTCGATGATATCATTTAACTGTAGGAAGTCACGTAAGGTCATTGGAAGTTCTGTTTCTTCAATGTTTTTTGTTTTATTCGGTTGTATGTGAGCTAAAATTGCAATCCTCGTAATATTCGTCAACGACATCGGACTGCAACTCTTAGATTCTATCCAGTGCAATATTTCAGGATTCTTTTCAAATTGGGAGAAATATAGAGGATCTTTTAGTAACATAAATAACCGAGATTGTGTGCAAGAACCAGAAAGAAATAATAGTTCTAGAAGAGACGTGTGCTCCTGGTAAAACCTTGAATCAGCCTTCATCAGAATGTGACATAATAATCCAGGATAGCTGTCATGTTGTGGGAATAAATCGGATCTATATCCACGTTTTATTATATGTATTACTGACTGTTTATAACCTCTACCATATCTACGTAGTTGCAAACTCATATTTTCCTGTAAAATTTGTTTACCAATGTTAGGATCTGCACCATGTTGCAATAAAAGTTGAACCACATTGTACTTCTTTGTTTCAAGGGCGACATGTAAAGCTGTTTTGTTTTCATTATCAACCACATTGATGTTACAACCTCTCTGCAAAAAGAGTTCGACAATGTATTCGGCAATTCCGCACCTCCCATTCATAATGATCTTCATTAGAGGAGTTTTTCCGTCTTTGTAACGAATATTTATATCTGCACCGCTTCGAACAAGCAATGTTATGCATTCTGAAATGTCGATATTTGATGAGTAATAAAGTTTTTTAAGTAGTTTGGTAATTGGTGTCTCTCCATAATCATCTACACTATTACTGTCAGCTCCGTTTTGTAATAGAGCATGAACTACGTCTTTACAACCTTGTTCTGTAGCAACATGAAGAGCTGTTTCATCATTTCTCAGAAATATGTCACACCCATTATCTATTAACATCATTGCTACTTTTTCTTTTTGTCTTTCTGTTGATAGCATTAACGGTGTATTTTCATTGTTATTTTTTAAATTCATATTGGCACCGTGTTTTATCAAGCAATCGATTAAACTCAGTGTACCATTCCGAACAGCTAAATGAAGAGCAGTTTCTTTATCATTATCTTGGGTGTCTAGCTCACATCCCTTCTTTATCAGTAAAATAGCAACATCAATTCTGTCATAATGAATTGCCGTCATTAAAGGTGTTGTCTTGTCTGAGTTTGAGAGGTTGATATCAGCCCCGTTTTCAATTAGCATTACCGAGCTATCTATATTACCTCTTCGAATGGATACAAGAAGTGGCGTCTCTCCCTCGGAATTTTGTATATTTAAGTTGGCACCACCCTTCACCAGAGGTATCAGAAATTTAACGTCTTTTCGATCAACAGCATGATGAATTGATGTTTGTTTGCTCACATTTGAATAACGATAGCCCCTATGGATATATGGAGGATTACACTCCCAATCCTGACTGTTCAGATTACACCCTTTTTTTATCATTAATTCAGCTACATCCAAAAGATCTCTTTCAATTGCTCTCATTAAAGGGGTTTCTCCTTTGTAGTCAGCTATGTCTAAATCTACTCCTCTTTCAATCAGCAAAAATATACCATCGGTCCATCTTTTGCCTATAGATAATAACAGTGGGGTTTCTCCTCGGTAATTTTGTATATTTAAGTCAGCACCAGTTGATGAAAGGGTCTTAAGGCAATCAAGTCTGTCATTTTTTACTGCTAAATGTACTGCCGTGTCCTTGTTCTTGTTTTGAAAATTTAGATTGCAATCTTTTCTTGTAATTATTCCAATTTCTGATATTAGGTTATTTTCAACAGCAAACATCAATGGTGTCATCCCACTATCATCAGAAATATTGAAACATGTAGTCTTTTCAGCTACCAGACTAAAATATTTCCCCTTTCCATTCATAGATAAAATCAGTGGAGTGTGGCCGTTTGAATCTTTGATGTCAGCATCGGCACCACTATCTAGTAAAAGCGTGACAGTTTCGTTGTCATCATAATTGTTTACAGCTAGATGTAGTGCGGTTTGTTGGTTTTTATTTTGAAGGTTAATATCACATTTTTTATTGTTGATAAATAAATTTGAAAGATTGAATAGTTCCCTTTTGACAGATAGCATAAGACAGGTGTTACCATTTTCATCTTGTAAATTCAAATCTGCACCGTTTTCTAGTAACAAATGTATTATTTGTTCATTTTGACTTTGTAATGAAATGATTCTTTCTGAGTCGCCTTTCCATTTTCGTATCGCCAACATCAATGGTGTTTGTCCTCTGTAATTAGTTGTATTCACACTGGCTCCAGACTGTACCAACAACTTCACTAGATCTGTGTCAAGCTGCTCGACAGCAAAATGAAGAGCGCTGATTCCGTGTTTATTTTGAAGATTAACGTTACAACCTTTACTTATCATTAATTTAACCATATTAGGAAGAGATTTTTGAATAGCGAACATTAGAGGAGTCATGCCATTTTCATCTGCTTGATTTATATCCGCTCCGTGGTCGATTAATAACAAAGAAATTTCTTCGTTTCTACCTAATAAAGACAGCACTAACGCCGACTGTCCTTTAGAATTCTGAATATTTACAACCGAACCTTTCCTAAACAGTATTTTAATTAGCTCGTATTGACCATTTTCAGCAGCAACATGCAGTGCGACCTGATTTTTATCATTTTTTACATTAACATCACAACCTTTTTCTAAAATCGATTTTGTCGCTTTAAACAATTGTTTTTCTAATGAAGAAAATAAGGGTGTTAATCCACTGTGATCTGATTTAGTAACGTCGGTGACGTCATTGTCTAACAGTAACATGGCCATGTTCTCATCAGATTCAAGTAAAGACAAGAGAAGAGGGGTTTGACCAGAATCATCTGTTATATTAATATCCACACCTTTTTCTAATAAAAGTCTTGTCGTGTTTATACATTTAAATTTAACCGCTAAATGTAGGGCAGTTTGGTTAAGGGTGTTTTTAAAATGTATATTACATCCTTTGTTGATCAACTCCTCAGATACCGTGGTCATATTTTCTTGAATAGAATAAGCAAGTGGTGGTAGATCTTCATCACGACAACAATCTATATTAGCACCACTAGTAATGAGAAAACTGGCTATTGAGTTTAATTTCAACTGTATGGCTTTAAGTAATGGCGATATACCTGATTTGTCCAGCAGGTTTACATCAGCTCCAAACTTGACAAGTAACTTCACTGTCTCTAAATCCATTTTATTAACTGATGTAAACAGTGGTGTTTGGCCACTATCATCTTGAATATCTATGTCACTGCTACTTTCTATCAAAGGTAAAACTAATTCTGTGAGGTCATGCTGGATTGCTAAATGAAGTGCCGTTTGTTTCTTTGTGTTCTCTATGTCCACATCGCAGCCATTTCTTATTAAAAACTTCGCTTCACTTGTTTTACATTGTTCAATGGCGTACATCAAAGCTGTCTTTCCTTTCATATCGACAACATTTAACTCTGTCCCTTTCTCAATCAATAAAGAGACAATGTCTAGGTTCTTCTCGCTTTTTCCTCTACTCCATATGATAAATACAATAAGGGGAGATTGGTTCAGGCCATTTAAAACGTTTACACCCGTCCCACGTTGAATAACCTTTAAAACATCGTCTGTAGAACCATTTACAACAGCATTAAAAAGGTCACTGCAGTCTCTGGTAAATTCCATACTTGAAATCAGCCTGAAATAGGTGATTGAAATAAACTATACTAATTAAAATTGCATTACAATTAAACAGGCGATTTTGTTTTAATTTCAACGTGAAGAACTGTTCTTTTCATGCCTACTAGATCTAAACCCTTTTTATAGTTTCTAAACGTTTTCCTGGTCAAGTAATTATTTTAAACAGCAAATTTGACAACTACTGTATTAAAAGTGACTTTTCGTAATGATTACCACAATGGACAAATCTTTTTTAGCTGTTTGTTACTTAACCCTTGGATATTTTTAGTTGAAACTTTACAAAAAGGAAAGGGGCATATTCCTATACATGCAGATTTAGTGTTTCACGGTCCGCACAATAAAAAAACTGACTCAAAAGACGAAGTTAAATTAGAGAATGATTTTAAAAGTTTGTAATAATTAAGTTTATGTAGATTATTAACTAAAATATTCTTACTTTTTAACTACATAAAATGACTGAACTTTTAATTTATTTACAGCCACTGGTTATAGATAAAAAAAAAAACATAAAAAAAAACCAAATAATATCTTTCAGTATAGGCACCTGAAATGGAAAATAAGAATGAAAGTATCGATAAACCATTTTAACGTCATTCTGTTGTTTTTTATGATTCTTTATCTCATAAAATACTTTTTATATAAAACCTATTCCATCGGAAAATTCGATGGAGTTTTAACAAAAAATAAAGGATAATCGACTGTGTTTTATCTTATACTTATAAAAAACTGTAGTTTTATGACAATATTTAGTGTTTGTAATATTTTCATACATTAAAATTTTCAAAATGAACTCAGAACCATCGAAAACTGGTTAAATATTTAAAAAATCTTCTGGATTTCATGCCCATATACAAGTTTGTAAATTTTGCTTGACAACCGCTTTTTATACGCCCACATTAAAATTGTCGTCGCCCCTGTGCGTTGGTCCGTCCGTCTGTCCACAATGTCAACAATTGTTTGTGGACACGATAGAGAGCTGGTTTCTTGGTGGATTTTAACGAAACTTGGTGGAGTGTTTGTAATCACCCAAGGATGAACCCTATATAAAATCAGACGAATTGAAAAATATTTACTATGAGTTATTGCCCTTGTTCTTGGATTGTTTGTGGACACGATAGAGAGCTGGTTTCTTGATGGATTCTGACGAAACTTGGTGTGAGTATTTGTAATCACCCAAGGATAAACCCTATTGAAAATCAGACGAATCGAAAAATATTTACTATGAGTTATTGCCCTTGTTCTTGAATTGTTTGTGGACACAGAAAAATATTTACTAGGAGTTATTGTCCTTGTTCTTGAATTGTTTGTGGACACGATAGAGTGCTGGTTGCTTGATGGATTCTGGTTTCTTGATGGATTTTGACGAAACTTGTGGTGAGTGTTTGTAATCACCCAAAGATGAACCCTATTGAAAATCAGACGAACACAAAGATTTGCTGCCACTGAAAAGATTCAATTCTATATGGATTAAATGAAACTTGACATGTTAAATTAATCCCACTTGAATAAAAAGCTGTAAACAAAACCCATGAAATATGAAAATTTTACTCTCAGAAGCATTCATTTACTGATAACTCTTGTCAACCTTCCGGACAAATTAGCTGTCATTACAAATGTGGGCGTATTACGATGGCATCGTTATTTTTTGGTGTTCCGTTAACTCGTCTACTGATGAAAATGGGATAATTCGTCTGTAATCAACAAATCAAGAGACGAATCGTCTTTCCATTGAAATGATGATAGCTTGCCAGGCAAGGTAACATACGCCCACTACCTACTGTCAGAAATGAGAACAAAGTCTGTAGTGGTTTAATATGTGAAACCAATCATCCGATTGTTACTAATTTCAAGCTTTACTCAGGTCTCATCAAAAAACGAATAAAAAATGTAGTCTGTATCAGACCTACAAGCCAAATTAGACGCATTGAATTAATTCAAGGGGCATAACTCCAAAACCATTCATCCAATTATTACCATTTTTGGACTTGAGATCTCATCCATATATACATGCATACATAGTTTCATTGAGATCAGATAAAAACTGCACCCTGTATCATGATGCAAACTTTGAAGCGCTTTTACTAAGTTAAGGGCAATAACTCCAAAACCATCAATCCGATTATGACCAAATTCAAACTTTACCGAGATCTTATCATGCATACCAAGTTCCATGAAGATCGGATAAAAACTGTAGTTTTTTTCGTGCCTGCAAGCCAAATTTGACGTGTTTGAAGTCAAGGGCAACCCTGAAATCATTCATCCAATTATTACCAATTTTGAACTTGACCAAAATCTCATCAATATATACATACATACTAAGTTTCATCAAGATGGGATCAAAATTGTAGCCTTTATCGTGCATACAAGGCAAATTTGATGCATCTTTACTAAGTCATGGGCAGTAACTCTGAAACCGTCCATCCGATTAGTACCAATTTGGAACTTGACTGAGGTCTTATCAATATCTACAAGCATACTAAGTTTCATCAAGATCAAGTTAAAATCTTAGCCTTTATTATGCATACAAGCCGAATTTAACACGTTTATACTAAGTCAAGGCCAATAACACTAAAACCGTTCATGCGATTATTACCAATTTCGAACTTGACCGAAATCTCATCAATATATACATGCATACCAAGTTTATCAACACTGGATAAAAATTGCAATCTTTATCAACTTTATCATGCCTACAAGCAAAATTTAACGCGTTTTTACTAAGTCAAGGGCAATAACTCTGCAACCGTTCATCCGATTATTACTAATTTCGAACTTGACCAAAATCTTATCAATTCATGTATGCATACCAAGTTTCATGAAGATCAGATAAAAAACTGTAGTCTCTATTGTGCCTACATGCCAAATTTGACGCGTTTTTAATAAGTCAAGGGCAATAACTCTGAAATCGGTCATCCTAATTTTACAAATTTCGAACTTGAACGAGATCTCATCAATATATACATGCATACCTAGTTTCATTAGGATTGGATAAAACTGTAGCCTCTATCGCGCAAACAAGAAATGTGAACGGACGGACGGACGGACAGAGGCGACGGCAATATACGTGCACATTTCCACGTGGGCGTATAAAAACGTGTAATGCGCACCCTTCTTACCTTACCCTCAAGTTCTGGAGAACTCACTCTAATTATTGCGGTTTAAAGTAGCTCACACAGAAGAAAAAATCAAGAAGATGGCATAACGCAGACACCATATTATTGAGTTTTAAAATGGAGAGGTCCGCAATATTATCTGACATCGGCCTACATTATACAATATATCCTCAATGTAGTCCACTATTTTATCATTTTGGATCAATCAATATCTACTTTGGTATGGTATTTAATTTTTCTATATTTATTCCCGTGACATTGAGTATAAATTGACAAGGTCGCACGCGTATGAATCTAGATTTAGAGAAGACAAAATTGTGCCATGCTTTTTCTTTTGGGAAGCTTATAGACAAATCTAAAGTATTATTTAAAGTCATTAATTAAATGTAGTTTTAACGTCATCAAATTGAAATATGATCACTGAGCTCTTTGAATATTTAAAAATAAACAATTTTGATACGAATTCAGATAGTATGGAGAAAGTGAAAGTTTTTTTTTAAAAAAAAATATATTGTCTACTATCAGAAGACTCGAGTTTTCGCTTGAAACAGTTGATCGTGATACCTTCAAACTTATTTCTTCTTTTTCTATACAGAATCTAAGCCCTACTCGATAGAAGTCTAAGTGGGGCCAATTAACTGTATCTGTTTGTTTTTTGTCATCTAAGTTGCTTCAGTAGATATTGTATAAAGTTTTTACTCTCTATTTTTCTCACACATGTATATGGTCGAACAAACGAAGTTTGTCATGTCATGAAGGCCTTATACGTGCCGTACTGCCGACTATGGCCAAAATATTTAGAATAGGAATAATTGTAAATGCATAATATGTTAAACAGTTACAGTCTCTCCTAAATCAGGGTATTTATATACGATGTCTTATATATGATCTATATAAGATATAAGAGTGCGTTATAAAACATAATGTGTTGAAAACTTGGAATTGCACCTGTAATACTTAAATTACCACGATCAAACCTCTTCATGCAATGTCCGACTTCATGTACCAAGACGTACACTTAAAATAAAATGTGTCACCTAGGTGAAAATTAATGTTTTTAATTCAAAATTAAAAGTGAAATATGTCGTATGTGAGCCACCGTACCAATCAGTATATGGCAAACTTACCTATCGCCAATTGCTATTCTTTATTGATTCCAGATAAACGAACAAATAAACGAACATTTTTGAAGAAAAAAAGTCCACCAGATCCAGACCAACAGATTGTCAGACTTCCAATTTCTAATTTTTGTTCCGTCTTATGACCCTGTCCATTTGGAACACCTTAACACAAAGTATAAGTATTAACCGTGCATTATGAAAAGGATTAGGGAACTAAATTTAGGTTTATTTATTTAGAATATCTTAGCTACGTTTACAATAGCTTTTTATTCAAATGCATTATGTTATATCTGTGCGAACGATTGTAGTTTCCTTTTTCACCAATAGTGATCATTCACAAAAGTTATTCTATAAATAGCTATGACACCATCAAGAGGATTACATAAAAGGGGGCCTGTTTAGAAATGTTTTTGAGAACAAAAAAAAACAATGTGATTGGTATTGAAATGTGAACTAAATGTGACATGAAAAATTCGACAATCTAATCTGAATATTGTTCACCATTCATTTCGTTTTAACTGTCTTTTTCATAACAGTCTGTTTGATTGCATTAGATACCAAACCTAGTAAATACAGTTTTAATTCTGATTGGATCAAAATTCAAATATACGAATCCGAAAGCATATCAAACCGGAATAGAGAGAAATCAGTTTCATTAGAATCAAATAGGCTTTCTGACCACCAATCTCTACCGTTCAATCTTAAACCCCTATAGTACAGGCTCGACTATAACTGAACATTTTTCACCGAC